CTGCCACCCCCTCCACAGGCCCCGCAAGATTGCAGGCGGCAGAGGCGGGGCCTTCTTGCTCGTCTGGGCGCACTGGGGGAAGATACCCCTTGGGCCCGAGCGGGAGCATTGGTGGACCGGAAAGGAGGAGGGGTGGCTTCGAGCGCCGGGCAGCTAGGGGCGCCGGCGATGACGGGGCCGGCGCCCTGCCGGGGCTCGGGGGTCCCGGATGTCCCTCCGTGCCGGGCCAAAAGGCAGTCCCTCCGGACGTGTCCCATCGCTCGGCAGAGGTAGCACCGGGCCTCCCCCATTGAATAATGTACCCAGTAGCGGGCCCCCTGGTAGGGGACCAAGAAGGACCCCTCGAGCGCCTCACAATCACGTGCCGCCGGCAGTAGTTGTAACTTTACCTGCCGGCGGAATGAGAGGATGTGACGGAGGGCGGGGTCTTTGCAGCCCAATGGGAGAGGGCTGACCACAGAGATCGGCCTCCCCAGGGTAGAGAGAGCGGGTAACAGGGCGGCATTTGGAAGGAAGGGAGGGACAGAAGTCAGGACCAGTCAGGCGCCCAGGTCTTCTAGCGGCTCCAGGGGGACATACATGCCCCCCACCGCCAGGCCCTTCTCCACTGCCTCCTGGGCGGCGGCCTCTGATGCTAGGAAGAAGACGACCTTTCCGTACATCTTGGAGGCCGCCACAATGGCTGTGGGCTCCACCACCCTCGCCAACGCCCGCACGTAGGTCTCCACGTGGGGCGAGGCAGGTACCAGGAGGCAACGGACGCCGTGCTTCCTGGTCAAGGTGGGGAAGGGGCCCCGGCCGCTATTGATGGTAGCAGAGGCGGTGGATGGGGGAGATGACGTAGCGGCAGGCGGGGGGGCCGCCGCCACCTGGGCGTATGCCCTGGGAGCTGGGGGTGGGACACTCATAGAGCTGGTGGAGGGAACAGCAGGGAGGGACGCCGCGGCTTGTTGCGGGGCTGCGGCAGTGGGGGCACCCCCTGCCATGGAGGGCCTGGCTTTTTTAGCGGGGCCTTTACCCTTCTTCGTGCCCTGGCCCTTCCTGCCGGCTGGGGGGACTCCCCCAGAGTCAGAGGGGGCAAGGGACGTGGCAGCAGCGGAGGTCACCTCGTTACTCACCGCTGCCGGTGCTCCAGCAGGGATGGTAGTAGGTGGCTTGGCAGCGGCGGTTGAGATAGAGGTTAGGGGGGATGATGGTGGGGTGGGTGGAGGAGGGGCAGCAGGGTCTGCCTGAGGGGTCTCACTCTCTTCGTCCCCTGTCATAATGAGGACAGGGGGAGAGCAAACACTGGAGGGGGGGTAGGGAAAGGGGAAGCAGTTCGACCACTCCTCCCCGCTAGGCTGTAGGCAGGGGAGGAGGGCGCGAAAAAAGGAGGGGGTTGATGGGGGGGCTATCAAGGCTAGGGGTCAGTCACCGACTCGGGGAGGGTTTCCGGCTCCTCTAGTCGCATCAAGGAAGGGGAATATAACAGCATTGGGGGGTGCAGTGAGACAAGGTCAAACTAAAATGGGGAGGGGCACAAGCGCAAGGGAGGGGACATGGGCGCACAAAGGGAGAGGCTAATCAATGCAAGGGGACCGCAGGGGAAGGGGAACAATCAGGCTGGGAGTGGGGCAGAGGAACCATGAGGCTAGCTTCAGAGGCTGGGGCGGGTCAAACAGACAAAGGTTGTAGAGGGAAAGGGCGTGGCAGGCAAACAGACTGGAGCTGGCAAGGGGCTGGGGCAAGGGAAAGGGGCAAAAGCCTGCAAGGGGCAAATGGGTAGGTAGCAGGGGCAAAGCTGGGGGCTTGCTGTAGGGGGTAGGGGGTCAGTCCAAAGGAGGGGGGGCACGTGCACCCACGTGCG